GTCACCAAGGCTCAGCCTGCCCGTGGGACCAGCCCCGGAGTGGGCCAGGGTGGGATGAACCTCCCAAGGTCTCTGTGGGTGGAGGGGTGGGTGCCTCTGCTCCTCCAGGGCTGGGTCAGGGCCACAGACCACCAGAGTCGTGCCTGAGGCAGGGGAGTCCCAGCAGGGGCTGGCTGGGCTGGACCTGAGCCCTGCTTTGGAGAGAGAGTCATAGAATCATGGAAAGGTTTGGGTTGGAAGGGACCTCAGAGCTCATCTCATTCCAACTGCCTGCCTTGGGCAGGATCACCTTCCACTAGACCAGCTTGCTCAAAGGTGTATCCCCTTCGAAAAAACCAAAGACGGGGTTTGGTAGCAGGTTTTTGTTGTTCCTGAAATGAAACTGCTGGAAGAGTTACACGTTATTCCCCAGCCTTGGGGACACCCCTGAGGGCAAAGTGCCAAGGTCCGGGTGGACCTGGGGCACTGGGGTTTGGGTGCATGAGTGCTCCAATGCTGCCCCACCACCTCTCCCCCCCTTGCTGCCCATCGGGGTTTGGACACAACGTGTCTGGCAGAGCGAAGGGCTGTACCCCCCCAAGGACACGTGCTTGCACAAGGAACAGCACTGTGCCGGCATCCCTGGCACTGCTGGGAGGGAAAGGGCTTTCTCTCCTTTGTGGTGGGTCTCCAGGGAGGGTGACTGCATGCAGGCAGCTGCCTTCTGAAGGCAGCTCCAGCCCCCAGCCCATGGAGACGGGCTCTGGCTCGCTGAGGCTCAGTCCCCAAGGTTCAGCCCCATTTATCTGCCTGCAGAGGAGCCCCACGCGTGGCTGGAGCCTGGCCCACAGTCAGCACAACACAGCACACAGCAAGGGGAGTCACGTTTGATCGGGGGAACACAGCCAGCTTCCAAATTCTGCCTTGCAGGGCAGCAAGGGGGATCAGCACAAAGAGGGGTGTGGTGAGTCTGGGCTCCTGGGGCACATTCCAGTGTGGTGAAGGTGTTACTCAGTACAAGGGAGCAGCCTCGGCGAGGCTCTCCCCGTGCTGCATGTATTACCATGGGTAATGTGACTGAAACACCTCACCTTGAGATGCTCCTGACAGATCCCCTCCACAAATGCCTGCCTGGGGGAGGGGATGCTCCCAGCATCCCAGAGCCTGAAGAAAGGAGCTTTTCATCAGCTACCAGACAGGGCAGGGCCCCTGACAAGGATGGGGTCTGCTGGCCAGAGCCCCTGCCAATGCCTGGCCACCCCAGACTTCTTTGGGATCAGTCCCTGGGGACTCTGTCTTGCCTGGGTGATGGAGCAGAGCCCATGTTGCTGTGATGGTGGCACAGTGCCAGGGAGAGGGGATCTGGAAATCAGGGAGAGAGGATCTGGAAATCAGGGAGAGACAGACCCACCTTTCTTCCCTGAACCTGAAACACCCCCTCTGAAACAGCAGTTAAAGATCCACAGCCTGAAAACATGGAGACCGTGGTTTGAAGTCTGATTTATCTTAACAACAGGCCCCAGCAGCCACATGAAAAGAGAAGAGAGAAAAAAAAACCCTATAAACATCCCTGAAGCTTCCTGTGCAGCTGCCAGCAGGCAGGGAGGGTTTCTGGCTGCATACAGAAAAGGGCTGCAAGGAAGAAAAAGGAACATGATGAAACCAAACCTGCTCTTTCCACAAAACACACAGCAAAGCAAAGCAGACCCTGGCAGTGGGCAGGTGGCCGCTTCCTCTGGCTGTCCAGTTCCCAGGGGAACTGGTCCAAATGGACCTCTGGTCCCGATCTGAGTCCAGCTTCCAAGCAGAAGGTCTGCCCCTGGCGCTGGCTCCAGGAGGAGAAATCCATAATGATTGGTGGCTGGCTCAGAGCTTGGCTGGGGAGAGGCCACAGCACACAGCACCAGCCGCTGCTTGCTGCCCTGGAAATGTTTTCCAAATGTCCATGGCTCTGCAATCCCTCAGCTGCAGCTTCCCCCATGCCTGTGCTGAGCTGGGCCCCACCTTTCCAGGGAGAGCAGTTCCTACCCCTCCCTGCAGCTCAGCATTCCCAGCAAACCCTGCCTTCATTGCACTGTCATTGGCAACCCCAGAGTCACTGTGCTTCCTTCTGCTTCTGCCAAGACACAGTCAGCCTGTTCCCACCCCCATCCCCACCTCTATCTCATCCCATTCCCATCCCCATCCCATCTCTCCGGCCCAAACTCAGAAAGCTCTCCCTCTTCCCAGCTTTCCTGGGCAGTATGAGGGCTGCTGGGGAGGTGGTGGGAGAAGGTCTGCAGCTGCTGAAGGGGACAGCCACCAGGCCACACTACCAACGAGGCCACACTACCCAAGCACCACATCCAGCTCCCAGCCCTGTAGCCGAACCCCAGCCTGTGTCCGTGCACGTGCAGCAAGACAGACAGATGGGCTTTCACTGCCCAGGGAGCCTTTTGTCACCTGCCTGGAAACTGTATCCCCTGGGAGGTGAATGTAGCTCCACCTCTGGTTAGGATAGGATCCCAGCACATGTCATGGGAATCAGGAGCTCTTCTCTTGATCCCATCAAAGCAACAAGGATCAAGTGCTGCCGTCACACCCAGCAGGAAGCTGAAGCCAGTTGCTCCATGGTGGATGCTGTGGGGTGAGGCTGCAGGAAAGGAGCAGACCCACGTCCTACATCCTGCATCCCATATACCTGTCCCATGTCCTGCATCCCACTCTGCGACCTGCCCCACTGCCCTCTCCTGCTGGGACTCCAAGGAGCCAGCCCTGAGAGGGTGGATGGAAGAAACTGGTCCCTGACCCAGCCTGCAGATCTCCAGCCAGCTGCCCCTACCGACATAGGAGCATTTTCCAGCATTGGCATCCAGCCCCAATCCCGTTGCATTTTCTGACTGATGTGAGTGTGGATCACTCCCAGCCCGTGGTGCCCGTGTGTGCACCAGCTCCCACCGCTGCCCTGAAGCCGCCGTACTTCAGCCAACGCTGCCTCCGCAGGCAGAGGAGATCTCCTCAGTTTACTGGAGCAAATGACCTTATGGGATTAGGGCCAGTAATCTTCCGATCTGGGTAATCTCTCTTAAGGGATTATTTGCCCACAGAAATGTGGTGACCACCCACCAGCCACTGCCTCTCTCCTTCCACCCCTGCGCTCCCTGTCCCCGACAGCCTGGAGGGGCCACAGCACTGGGGTCACCACACACTCTTTGGGGAGCTCCTTGTCAAAGGAGTCCCAGGAAGGACATGTGCTAACAAGCCAGGGCCCCCAGCACTGGGACTTCTCCTTTCTGCCAGCCTGTGCTCACTGCCTCGGGCAGGTCACTGGGGCTCCCTCCCATCAAAGCATCGATCCAGGACAGATTAGAGGTCTCTCCACCATCACCAGGGAAGCAGCAGCTGAGCAGGTGACAGAGGTGACTGCTTGGAGACAGGGCTGCATTTGGAAACCCAAGATGCTGTTCCAGGGCTTTGTCCAGAGCAGGGACACAGGACATGAAGACCTGTGTTCCCTGTTACCCACCAGCCCTGGGTGGGTTGCTGGGGCCCCTCTCCCACCAGAGAGCTCACCCAGTGAAGGTCTGCTGGTCCTTGCCATCAGTGCTGGGTTTTCCTGCATCTCCCACACCCCATTACTCTGGCTCCTCTTGCTCACGGATGGGTGGGACAGAAAGAAGGAGATAAAAACCATTTTGAGGGGCAATATGTTTCCCTTCCTGCAGGCAGGGTCATTCAGGGGCGCAGATGGATGCAGTGCCCTGCCAGGGCATTCCCAAGACTGGTCCCTGCCCAGCACAAACTGGGAGACACTGGGGCTGGCCGAGGGTGAGTCAAGCTGCTGAGACCATAGCTGGTTGCACTCCCTGGGGATGGCAGGTCCTGGATGTTGAGCTCCGGATGAGCCACCAGCTGCACGAGAGGAAACCTGAGCTCGCCGCCCCATGCTCTGAGTGCCCATTATGGCGATCTGGGGGGAAAAGAGGACAGAGAGGCCACCTGATGCTCCAAGGGCCCAGCTGCCAACAGCGGCACCGCGCTGGGAAGCGGCGGGGAAGAGGAGACAGACGGCGGTGCTGGGGGAGAGGGGACGGGCTGTGACAAGTCATAAATAATTCACGCCCAGCGGGACCAAGCAGGGCAGAGGCGCTCAGCCCCACGCCCACCCGGGCTGC